GTCAATGAAGATACTGCCTAATTTAACACCGTTTCTAAAATCCAGAATGTAAAATGACAGATGTTTTTTAAAAGTTTTAAAACAACTTCTTTGTATCCATCAATAAAGACACTTTTCAAAATGTCTTCATCCTTTTTAAATTATTGACATGGATTTATAATAAGTATACTTTTGTTGTTTTTGTCTGTAAGCCTATAAAGCTAGCAGACTCTTCAATGTGCTCTTCCCCTAAGACATGCTATGAGTCAATCCACTTTGAGACTCACCTAGTCACCTCTGGCTCTGATAGCACGTCTGGGCCAGTCTCTTAAGATGTGCAGCCAGAGTGCTTCCAATTCTTACATGTACTGGTTTCAACTGAAGAACTGAAGAGCTACAGCTGGTTTACCTCACTGTAAATTCCGAAGTTTCTGAAAAGCGTGGCATCATCTTCAACAGGTTTACTGTCTCCAGAAAGACAGTATGGAGCACATGTCTCAGCATTGACAAAGTGGAGCCTGCTGATGCTGGAGTTTACTTCTGTGCGTTGAATGCCACAGTGAGAAAGCCTAAAGATTCTCCTTAGTCAAAACTGGCCACAAATCCAGCACTGAGCATAAAAACCTGTTTAAGTAGAGTGTGAATGTTAACCCAAACCCTAGCTGTGGCTTCAACAGAGCAGTTCCGCAATAAATATCTGAAGCCCTCCGAACAAAACCAAAACAAAACAGTTTAAATGATAGTGAAACAATCAAAAGCATTGAAAAAAGTTTCAAATGTGTGAGATTCTATGTTTGGTTGCAACTTTTGTTTCGACTGACTATAAAATTTTTGGGATAAAATTACTGAGCGGTGCACCGTGACATTCAGGCCCCAGAGAGTTATCCCCCCAAAAAAACTATTCAAATATGAGCAAGAAACCACTCGTCTGATTCTATATTGCTTGGTTACACATTTTGATCTGACCTGCTCAGTTCTGGAATACAATTCCCGCACGTTGTACCGCACCTTCCAGGTACAAGAGTTTCTGAAAAAAATATTCAGATTGGAGCAAAAAAATCACTCGTCCTAAACTTCACCTGTGCACCAGGCTTACAAATGTCTAATTAGAGTGTGAATGCTAACCCTAACCCTACATGGGGTGTCAACTGAACATTTCCACGATCTATATATGGACATCTCTAGGCTTCAGATTTTGACATGTTCCCCAAACTAAAAATTATGAGTGGGAAACAATCAAGACCATTGATCAATGCCCATGCAAGGGAATGAGATTCAACAATGCTTGGTTACAACTTTAGATCCGACTGACTCAGTGTCAACTGAGCATTTTGCGATCTGTATCTGAGCCTCTCTGATCATGGGATTTTTACATGTTCTCCAAATCAAAAGGCACGAGTGGGACGCATTCAAGACCGCTGAACCAAGCTCTTGCCATTGAAAGAGATTTGGTAATGCTTGGTGACAACTTTTGATCTGAACAACTCAGTTTCTTGATTTAACGACTGCTAGGTGCACCACGCCATTCAGGCCCCCCAGAGTTTCTGGAAAAAAAATTCAGATAAGGACAAAAAAACACTCATTCTAAACCTGACTTTGGCCCCAAAATCCAGCCCTGAGCATAAAAATTGTCTAATTAGTGTGTGAATGCTAACCCTAACCCTAGTTGGGGCTCCAACAGAGCATTCTTGCAATCTGTCTCTGAAAAGCTCCAGTTATCAGATTTGAAAATATTCCTCAAACCAAAAAGTATTTTTTATCCGATTCAGTTTTCTAATACAATTCCTAATCACTGCAATATACCACAGCCAAAAGTCTCAAAAATAAAAGTTTCAGACAGTAGTAAATTATCATTCGTACTCATGTTCTCCTTACACCCAAAAACCAGCACTTAGCTTAACAATGTCTAAGGAGTGTGGTTATGTTAACCCTGATCATAGCTGGGGCTTCAACTGAGCAGTTCTGCAATCTCTCTTTGACCACCTCTAGGCATCAGATTGGCAGATGTTCCTTAAACCAAAATGTACAA